CCGCGGAGGCCTTGAACGGCTTTTACCTCGCCATCCACAACCCCCGCCGGGACTACCCCGGGAAGGAGACTACCGCAAAGGTCGAAAAGGACGAACACGACCAAACGGCTTTGAGCGGTGCGGTGAGCTGTTGGCCGCAGCTGCTCTCCCACGGGAATGTCCTCGAAAAGGATCGTTTGTGGGGGGAGGCGTATTTGAGCAGCATTGCGGCGGCGGCAGAGCGGGAGGGTTGGCTCCGCCGCGCGCTTCAACAGCAGCGGCAGGCATTTTTCACCTCTTCTTTTTCTTCTCCCCTTTTCGTGCCCTCGCTATTTCAATCCTTCCCGGCGGAGATCGCGGTGCGGACCTTTTATGCCCCCCTATTGTCCCTCCAGACCCCCCCATCAAGTGGCATCACGTGGAAGGTGACCTCCTTTGAGTACGATCTTATGAGCACTCTGTTTATCGCGCGATCCTCGCGAAGTTATGAAGAGGTGGAGCATTCGCTCTTTAAGGCATTACTTTCCCGCGATGCGCATGTAGGGGCCTGCGTGCTTACCCTTTTGGCGCTCGCGGCGAGGGTGAAGGCGTTGTCGTCGGAGCGGGAGCCCAAACATGCTCGGGCGAGCCTTCTAAGTGAGCGGCATGCGTCCCCTTTTGATACCGCGATATTCCCCGGCGCGCGCATCTATTCTCTTTCCCCGCCCGCCGGGTCAGGGGGGAAAGGCGGCAAAGGCGTCGGAACGGGTCCGCACGCCCGCACGGGAGGGGGATTTCACGCCCGATTACCCCCCAGCAGTGTAACGAGGTCCTTTTCCTCGCCCCATTCAGGCTCCTCCTCATCGGGGCTTCTCGCGGATGGCAAAAACAGTGCGCAGTTCGGCGAAGCGGCGGATCTGCAGAAGCTATGTCAGATGAAAGAAGGATTGTTAGAGCAAATTCATGCGATGCGCGTGGAAACTGCAAGGCGGCAGGCGTTGATAACATTACAGAGAGTCTAAACCCATAACGATAGAGGTAAACAGGAAAAGGAAGGACGATCGGCCTTTGACTTTCCCTGCACCGGGTTGTGGTATTTTTTTTCCTTCCCCCGGCCATTACCCTCTTAAGCGGCTGCTGCCCCCATTTCCCACCACCTTATACGGTTGCGTCTTTGACGTTGTTGCGACCTTCCCCCCCCCCTATATTTCTTCTTCCTCCTCCTCTTGTTCTTCTTCTGACTAGTCTAGTGATTTTCAAGTCGAATCCCATCCCCGACCTGCCGTGTCATTGGCGTCCCGTCCGAGTCATCTTTGGTCCTCTCCC